TTAAATTTGTTACATGAAATGTTGTTATGTTTTTGTTTTGCAATACCGCAATAGCAAAATATGCCATCTAATTCTTTAAATTGTTGTTTGTTTTGTTGTTTTGGCTTTTTTATTTGCGTATTGACTTTTGTAGTTGCAATTTTAGGAGCATCAGAGCTTGATTTTTTGTTTTTTATTGTAATATTGTATTGTTTTTCCCATTCTATTTGTGTTTTGCAACGTGGTAGCCATAGTTGTTCTCTTGCCAATTTAATAGCCATCTTTGTAATGGTTTTAATAATAGTTGTTGCTTGCGTATTATTTGTTCCAAGTTGTGTTGTAAATCTAATTAATTTGTTTGAAACCAATCCTTGTTGTAGCATTAGAAAGTGTGTTGTTAGCATGGAGGTATCGACTGTTTGATACTGACTTTTTTCCAGTTGATGTAGCTTGTTGTTTAACAGCGTTATCCATTTTTGAGTTGATAGGTTTGTAATTTCCAATCTGATCTTTTCATTGACTTTGCAATTCCAAAAGTGATCAGTTGTTTCAACGTATATATTGCATTGCTTGCACAAACTTGATTTATATGTTTCTGGCCAAAGCTCATAGAGATACTGTGCAGTGGGTAGACACTTATGTAGATTTCTCAATAAAAATGTACGCATTGCTGCTGATTTGCTCGATGTATATCCTGATGACATTTTGCCGTCCCAATTCCAAATGGAGAATGAGATATCCCAGTTAATATCATCATCTATTAGCGACTCAATATGTTTATTAATAATGTTATTTAATTGCCAATCCACTTTGTGTCTTGTTTTTGATTGTTTTTTAAGGAACTTGCGCAAATTAGTGTCAATCAATATATTATTGCAATAAGCTGAAAAGTTTAGTTTGCATGTGTCTGATGCAATCAGGTTGATAGAGGACTTATTACATGCTGTTTTTGCAAGTTTGTCTGCTTTTTCATTTGCAATATTGTTGTTATGTGCTTTGATTTTAGTCCATTTGATTTTGATGTGCTTTTGTTTTACTATATTACTAATATAATGCCAAACTTTCCAGCCTGTTGTTTTAAGCATTGTGCGAGTTGACACCTTTGACGCGTTATTAATCCACTTATTTAATATATATATTGCTGCTTGGCTATCAGTACAAATATTCAAGTTGCAACTAAAAGGAACTGCTTCTATTGCTGTCAATATTGCGATTCCTTCTGCTGTTGTTGATATTTTTTGAGTATAAATTCCTGTATTAAATTCTATATCTCCTAGACTTGTAGTCCATGCTGCTCCACTGCAAATTTGATTTGTTCCAGAATGTTTTACTGAACCGTCTGTAAATAATCTAATGTATTGTTCATTTTTAAGTTTGTTTTTACACTTCTTCCATTGGTCCAATTGGTCTGTTGGAATGATGATAGAACTTTTATTTGCTGTAAGCAAGTTATCAAAGTCTGGTTCCATCTTTATAAATGTATTAGATTTTGGTTTCCACAAGATAATATTAGGTTGAATTTGAGAAACTTTAAGATTCCAAGTGTAATTTATGATAGTCCGGTTTGAGTTGATAGTTCTTTTTTCAATTATTTTGAACCATTCTGGAGCTTTGCCTTTGTTTGTTGGTCTATATTTGTTTTTATATTCTGACCATGTTATCAATTTTTCTATGTTTTGACTGCGCTTAATTAAACAATCCAAATATAGTATTTTTTCTTTTTTTAGATTGTTTTGATGTTTTTTGTAAATTTCATGTGTTTCTCCTTTAATAGATATTTTTCTCTCAGCCATAATGTTTATAATGTCTGCAATTAGATTATATCCTGGTTTGGTTTTTTCGATTTCTGGATGTTCAAGGA